ATCCTTATCCTTGTTTCCCCAGAAGTAAACATGCCACTGAGAAGAATAACCCCTACAGGTTCAGTGAGCCTGAAATGCAAATAGAGCCTCTGTGATCTCTGGTCATTCAGCAGCACAGGGATTTCCTCAAGGTGAAAGGAAGGAGAAAAACACAAACAGAAAAATCCATGGAAGCCAGGAAGAAAGACAAGCAGAAAGATGAGACAGGAGAAAGTGAGACATTGCCCTGTAGAAAGATAAGACATTAAAATATATAAAGAATGTTCAAGACTTTTTGGGAGGGGAAGATAAACCTAACTAAAGGAAAAGGCCAGAAGACCAACATGAGAGTTAAAACTGGATTGGTAATTTAAAAAATCTCAGCAGTAAAAAAAGTATCTTTTCCTGATAGCTTCTTTATGTAGTTTCTCCAGTGCCCATTTCTAAATAGAAGGGTACACACACTCAATTACCTCAGAAAGGCACAGGAAAATGCAAATGAAGAGACAAATTAAGAGCAGAGGGACAAATAAAGTAGAAAAAAAAATCAGTTGTAACTTCGTTATACACAGGCAGTAACAAAACAGCAGTGAACCACGGAGTCTTCATTTCCAGCCTCACTAGGCTCAAGGAGTGGACACGCTTTGGATGACACCAACATTCTTCTCCTAAAACACCAACAAGTCTGAAGAGCACACTATGAATTTGAAAGAGACTACATGGTCCTCCTGCTGTTTTATGAAGCTACCGCTTGAACATGGGTTAACTTCGATTTACTAGTTCCTGGCAATCCTGAGGAAGAAGTGTTGCTCTCTAAGCTATATATTCTTTGTCTGTATAAATCAGTGAAAATCAGTCACTGTCATTTTACCAGTGTAGACGCTGCACAAACCTTGGTCTCTAAATTGATCATATCTTCACCTCAGGCTCTGTATATTCTCTGCCAATGACTTCCTCTCTACAGCCTGTACTTCTGAGGCACTCTGCCCAAAACCTAACGTTGTGGGCACTCCTAACAGTTTGGAAGAACAAAAACTGTCTGGGGCCGGAAAATGAGGATATTTTCTAGGAAAGCACTGCCTGCATCAATTCTTAGTTAAGTCTGGGGAGGTTTTGCAACAAGCTAACAGAAAAGGAAAGGAAAAAAAAGTCAAGTTTTCTTGCTAGCTGCCTATTGAAAACTGATTCAACACAACTCATCAGTGCCTTTCAACCGAGTCTGGTGTGAAAGATTAAACTGAGTGAAAATATTGTGAACACACTATTTAGAATCCTACAGTATTAATGGCAACTTCTTAAGTGTTTGGTAAACATTTATGCTTCAGAAACTGTGAAATAGAAAGGACTAAGGGTGGGAAACCTTAGAAGCTTTCCAGAAGAAAGAAAGCCTCAGTGAGTTTGAAGAGATAATAAGTGTACTTGAACATTTATTCTTATAACCTCTATCACAAAAATCCTTATGTGAAGATAATTGATGACAAAACATCTGCAGAAACATCAGATTTACTTCAATTACCATTGAAAAAGACTGTCCAGAAAAGTGGAGAAAAGGCAAGTGGGTGCATTCGTTGGCAGAGAGGCAGCAAAAGGGTGGAATGTAATTTCATACAGAAGAAAGTGAGTGGGAGCCATAAACCAACTTGAAGAACCAGATGGTTTTGAATACATTGCAAGGACATTGTTTTTAAAAATACTCATTCACCTGAACTTCAGAGCAGAATCCCCTGTCTGCTTGTGCAGCTGAGAGCCTCTGATCAATGGTATGCACAGGCAATGGCCAAGTATCAGTCAGAACCATGAGCCCATTCAAAATTTAAACAACAAGGGATAACACAAGCAACCAAGGCAGTCTAGCAAGAGAACAAGTCACTCCTAAAATAAATGCTCAAAATTATGACAGGATTCCTGGTGCTCCCAAAACTGACATGTTTCCTTCCAGGATTTCAGTACAGGTGAATCAGTGGAGAGTAGTTTCTAAATCCAAGGGCATCCATGAAGTGGACACAATGTATTCCGCCTTCACCTTTGCAATTCTATATTTAAGAGGAAAATTCCTTTCTACAGTGTAATATAGGAAAACTATATGAGAACTTTTCCATAACGAAAATGAAATGAGAAAAAAATCAACCAATTATCATTCTATTTTTCCAATGTAACTACTAAAGATACCTAACAAGCCAATGGAGTGACTGACAAGTGAATAACTCATCTTTCTGGCAACGCTCTGCCATGAATATTGTATTTATTTGCAATGAGCTACCCCAAGCCTTACTGTTAAATTTACAGCAAGCATATAATAATACTAAAAATACTCAAGAAGAAAATAAAAACTTGCAAAAGGTAAGAAAGCCTTTTGAACGTAAAAAGTATGCAAGCTGTTTGTTTAAGAGGACTCCTCAGCCAACAGCACTTCCATCAGTCTCGGGGGAGTCTCTCTGAACTAATTAATGAAGAACTGGACACTCGCAAGGACAAATCAAAAACAGCTGAAAAAGTTAAAAATGCTTTCTATTACATAACTTGTCTGACTGATTCCAAACTAAAACACAGGCTAAGCTCCAAACTGCAGGAAAAGGCTAACAGAATACAGTTCCTCTTGTTTTCTCTTAGCATTTAACACAGAAGAACCTAGTGTCTAACCTCATTTTTTGTTTGCAAAGGCACAGTAAAATGGCAAACTGTGGAAATAAAACCACACAGCTCAATTCAGAATGATCACATTTGAAATTACTCATTACAACTGACAACCTCAGGACCCAGCAAGTTCTCAAGACAAACTGTCTTTTCTGACTGAAAGACACTGTCAAAAAGAGGTATTAAAAATAACAAAATCGGTACAATAGCTCTGAAATCCAAGGAGATCCCAGATGACAGAACCCACATCAGACCAGATTTGCTGGCAACATGCTGTGTACAGTAAAGTCCCTACAAGTGTTCTGTATTGGTAATATCATATGTGACTTTGTAGAGTGAATAAATAATTATTTAGGCAGCAAATCCACGTTCACAAACTTCTCAATATAACTCCGACCAGAGCCTGGGCATTTAAGGCAAGGACCTTAAAGTAGGCAACGGCATCCTTTCAGCATGTCCCTCTTGTTAAAGTACAACTCTCATAAAAGGAATTAATTCTCTCTACAGATAAAACCTAAAATATATCAACCAAGTACAAGCAATACAAGCCTTGCCTGTGCAGGTTTGCAGAATCCAGAAGAGCAACATCTCAATATGGTGTAAACAATTACAACTATCACAACAACAATGTTAGCTATTGTGTCTCAGCTGTCAGAAAAGAGACTGAGGATTGCAAATATGCAAAATCTACTGAAGCAACTTTTAATTTTAACTCAACAAGTGGATGACAGCAGAGAGAGCAACTGCTGCTTGCCTGTAATTCGGTCAAGAGAGCTAAAGGAACTAGGTCAAGACCCAAAAGAACACACAATCATACACTCAGGAAGTTGGCTAAAAGCTTTTCCAAGCCGAATAGAAACAATCACCTCTGCAAACATCATTTCATACACCTCTGACAAACCAGAGATCTTTATTTCCACCCCAGTACGTTTTCAATACTTTAGCTTCTTTCCAGCAAGTCAACACGTACAACAAGACCTAAAGCAAAACCATGAAGTATATAAGCTTTGCCTTGTGCCTCCACATCTCCACACTCACAGCTTTTAAAAACATGCCAACACAGTTCCCCGTCTTTACACCAACAGAATGTTCCATACTAAAAACCAGTGGACCCCAGTAGCAGGATCCAAGAGTGCTATCCAATTTGACATGTATTCAGGATTTCTCTCTCCCTTGTTTGGTGTTAGGCTGGGTTGTTCAGTTTTCATCTTACTGTCAACCCTAGCCCTGACTAATCAGGAGACACTGGAGGTTTCATATCCAGAACTTGGGACAGTTTAAATTTATTAAATTTATTAAAAAATTAAAACTTAAGCTGCTCTGTTCTGTTTAATGCAAAGTGTACTTTCTGGTACTGAACCAGTGACAACTGAACATTTGTCCATAGAACACAATGGCCAGATTTCATCACAATTCAACATAAATTGCATTCTCTGTTCATATAAGGCCAACATTCAGAAAAGAATGAAGTTCTGCAGTTCCACACAGGGAGATATGAAAGAGGCAGGTAATGGTCACAAAGGTCAGCAATAACAGGAAAAGTACTGAGACTGGGCTGAAGAAACAGAAGGACATGAAAGGAAGAGTGGAAAAAGCTTGTGTAATTTCTGTTAACTGTGTATCTGGCTCTGCTTCATGTAAACACCGCCTGAATTCCAGGATCACAATGCAGTGGGATAACGAGAGAAATTAAGTTTCATTAAAAAGAAAAAAAATCAAGCAAAGAGCTAGTAGCAATATGATAATTAAAAACAAATTTTAATTGCTAGTGTTACTTATTTCCCTGTCTGCTATTAAAAATAAGTTACTATCAACAGAAAGGAAATAAGTCCTGAAACAGGCACACTGTTGTTTGCTGACTTCTTTGTGAGAGTCTTAAGGCCCTCTTGCTCTACTACTGCAACATAAAGAGCTAATTTACTAGAAAAACGTGAAATGTCAAGAATCAGGCAAGGAAAAAGGAGTGCTCTATACAATGACAGCGTACATGGCTTTACACGAGTAGCTTCATAGAAGTTAAAAAAACCTCTATGAAGCCCTGGTGTACTTCAACAAAAGCACAGTTATTCCCAGGCCAGTCTGCAGTTTGTTCATAGAAAACTGTTTTCGGATTTCCAAGAGCAATCGCACAGAACCTACTCAGAAGGGCAGCATCACAATACTACAGAGCACATGCAGGTGAAAACTCACCCAAAAGACAGCTTTGTCTTAAGATTCCCGGTAAACTTTCAGCTTCAATCTGTGGTCAAAACTTATCCTGACAATGATCCTACATGTGACTTCTCTTTACTGCTTTGACATTCCTACTGCAGATCTCTTCACCTACCACCCCTCTCCCTTGCCCCACAACTTCCAAAGAATACCCCAATGCATCCGCGTGACCTTACCTTTCATTTTGACAGTGGGAGAATTGGGTCCAGCCGACTGCTTCCTCCATCCTCTCCAGTTCTGGCAAAGGCTCTCTGCCTCAGAGATAAAGGAACAAAGAGAGTCTTCCTCAAAGCGATCGGAGTCTTCAAATGAAAACCTCTCCCCGTCCTCCCACTCTGCGAACATGAGTTCCATCACATCCGACAGGCGACGTGGGGGAAAAAGAAAGACAGAAACAGCACTGCTCACTTTTAACAGGTGAATGGACTTGAGGGCTCCTACAATGCTTAAAATCTCGATTTTGATTCGATCCCCATTCTACGGTGCCAAGAAAAAACAAAGCGCAGGCTGAGGTGGGAGAAGCAGGAAATAACTATGGGGAAGCTCGTAAAAATCCCAGGGGGTGGGGAAAAAAAAAAAGTTCTTTAAAAAGTTAAAAAATGCTTATGTCCACAGAATGTACTTGAGGCGGAGGGGGCTGGTGGGTCCGTGAGAGCTGCCTCCCGGCGGGACAGGTGCCCCGGGCACACCGAGGGTCCGGGAGCTCCCGGCGCTGCAGGGCGAGGGAAGGGGCCGCCTTCCTCCTCCGGGAGGTGTCTGTGCGCAGGGCCGGGCTCCCTGGGGTTGTGCTTGTCTCACTCCCGGCGCAGGAACCGGGGGCAGCGCCGGGACCCGCCGGGGAACAACTTCCCTCCCGCTCCTGGGGCTGCAGAACGGCCCGGCGGGGCCGCAGCGCCCGCGGGGGGGCGGCGCGACCTCCCGACGGCTCGGCACCGGCGCGACACCGGCGGGCACCGGCGCGGCTCGGGCGGGCGGCGGCTCCGGCCTCACGGGGGCGCGGGCGGCGGCCGGCGGGGAGCTGCCGGCGCTGGTCCCGGCGGGCGGGGCGGGGGCAGCCTGTCGCCGCTGCGGTGGCGGTGGCGCCGCGGTGTCTCTACGAGCCCATGGCCCGCGGGCCCCTCTGGACGCCCCCGAGCCCGGCGGTTCGCGGCCCCGGCGGGTCCCGGCGCTGCCCGGCGCGGGCACCAAGATGGCTCCGCGCTTCCCAGCTTCACCTGCGACACCCCCCGCCAGCTGAGCGCCGCTTCCGCACCCGCGCTTCCGGCTTCCGCCGCGCGCCGCACGCCGGGAGCGCCGGGCGGGACGGAGTGCGGGAATTCCCGGCCCCGGGAACGGGGGAATGGGGGGCGCGCCGGCTGCTCTGCCGGGATCTGGCTACCGCTTCGCACCCAGCAGGCCGCTCGGAGGGGCTGTAATAAACCACGTTGTGCCCGTACCGCCAAAGGCAGCGGGAGAGCGCGAGTGGTGCTGAAATGGGAGCAGGGGTTGTCCCCGGAACGCGCCGCAGATCAGTTGTGTGAGGTAGAAATGACCCAACTGGGATCATCTGATTGGGAAGGAGAGAAATATCTGAGTTCTCAGTAATGTTTTCTGTTAGAAGGGGGGAAAAAAGCAGGAGAGAAGACCAAGGGAAGAAGACAAAGGAAATGAAGGGAAGGTGGCTCGAGTAAGTCCTGTTCAGAAATACCAGTCTAAGTGCAGGGACCGCCTTGCCCGGGCCGAGAAAGCCCCTCGCTCTCCCAACAGGAGAAGGGAAGGAGGTATCTGGGGAGCTGCAGGGCCTGGACAACTCCAAAATTCCAAAAAAGTAACTCCCTTGCCAGTTCCAGGAGGAGCTGCGCAGGTTAGGTAAGGTTTTCGGGTCCTACCCACTCTGAAGTCTGCGGGGGTGAGGTTATTTTTAATTTTTTTGTTTCTAATTCGGTTTTTTTGGAGGTCTAGTACATTGCTTCATTGTGAGAGTTGACTGGTAAAATACCAAAGGATAAGCTTTCTCTTCGAATACACATCAGCCAAACAGCTGGACCTGCACCTCCCTCCCCATGTTTGTACAGAGGGAACAAAACAAATGAGGGAAAAAAGAATGACACACTCAGAAATAGTAACCCTAGAGCTGAGAGAGACCGAACTGCATCTAGGAATACTCACCATCTGCCTCATCTATAGTACTTGATCAAAAAAAATTACATTAATTGGAGGGTGCTAAGAGATGCTCCTTGGATCTTAAAGGAAACTTACTACATGGCTTGTTCTTACAGTTGCAGTGATTACCAGTGTAAGATTTGGAACACAAAGGTGCATCACTGCAGTGTCCTTTACTTGTTGGAATGTCAGATGCTTCAGTCCCTCCTGGGAAGGGCCAGAACCCCAAGCAAAGGAAAGTAGTGGCTTTTCTACCAGTAAAGAAAGAGTCTGCAGGGCTGAATACTGAAAGAAAGCAAAGAGATGAAAATGGCTTGTCGTGTTTTCTACTGCAACACACCAAGGCAAACATTCCATAGGTGCACTCGCAGGGAGGCAGGACACCATGCAAGCCAGGTGCAGGGCAACATGCCATAGCACATTGTGCCAAGCTTGTGTTCTGGCTAATCCTGCAGAAAAGTTGTCCTGTGCTGATGCCTGACTGGGTCTCTACTGCCAAATGACCTGTTAGTGCACCACACCAACAGTAATTCGAGAGACAGACACACCTGCCTGGTAATGGGAGTTCTGTCAGGTTACATCAACAGCACTCTGGGTCAAGGGCATTGCAGAGAATCTCTGCCACGTGGGAAAGCAAAGATACACAAAAGGTATCATAATACTTCGTGGAGTGTTTCATGAAAGAAGGGTTTCACCTCAGTAAAAGTGTTTCCCTGGTGAGGAAAAAATATTTAGCAGATTGTAGGAACTTCAAAGAATAAAAAAAATACAGTTGAAATTTTGGAGTGTATTTTGATGGGAGAAAAGGAGATGGAAAAAACCCCTAACAGACAGACCAAAAACCAAAATAAGAAATTAAACACATTGCGTCCAAGGAATGAAGAGGTAACTACAGGTGAGATTCGGCACCCTGACCTAGATGTTGTGGCACTTGAAATGACAGAAATGGGCAGGAAAACACAGGCAATAAGCCTGGTGCTGCTCACCAATATCTTTTGTCAGCAGTGTGTGCAACACAGCACTGTTGAATTTTACCAAAATCCAATCCCACAGAGAATACCCATTACATCCAGAAAGGTCAGAGGAGAGGAGGAGATGTACTAATGTGACATGCTTCAAATTATAAGGGGGCTTCAGCACATTATGTTTGATTGCATTAAATTGTAGCAAACCTCACTCCCATTCCTCCTTCTTCCAGCTTTGGGATACCACAAGTTGTGGAGATTTCCAAAGAAATCTTGCTTTCACTTTCTCAAGCATCACAGGCTGAAAGCATGGGTGAGGTGATGGAAGTAATGAGGCAAGCAAAGGAGAGTGAACATATGCACTTTTATCTTTAATTGCATTTCAAGACACTGTAAAAAAGTGTCTTCTGGCTTGTGCAGAGCAGGCCTGGGTATGTTGTTCCCCTGGTCAACAGGAGGGAGTGCAGGTGTGGTTACTTGCTTCTCCTTGTCCTCAGGGCTATGGCTTGGAAAGGCACAGGAGTTCATAAGCACTCATCCATGTCTTTTCCAGCCAACTTATTGCACGAGACAGGCATGTATTTTCTCTCGTGGATCTTTCAACAGACAAAAAACTACAGTTACTGCTGAAAAGACCATGAAAAATAGTATCTGACAATTTCAGCAGTGTTCTACTGGGAAGAAAGGAATTCAATAAGAAATCCTGAAGAGATGACAAGGCTGCCACTAAGATGGTTTCTCCCTTACAGGGATGTACGGGTTTTTTTTTCCTTTCTCTCTTATTTCAGAGAAAGGAAATTGCTGTTCAGAATTTCTCTGCCTCCATAACAGACAATTTTCAGAATGCAGCATTCCAGATGAGAGAGACACATGTGAGTGCTCACGCATACCCTGAAGCAGAATTACAACATTTACATTTGTTTCCTGTCTTAAGCTCTCACTGGGGACTAAAAATCAGAGAGGGTCTGCACTGCACCCCAGAAGTGCTTTCCATGGGTGAGTCGTGAGCTACTCTTCAAGTCATATCCAGCGTGGTTTTATTTCTGAAAGAAAAACACATGCTTGCTGTGGCTTGAATCTAACACAGACTCAATAACAAAATACAGCACTCTAGAGATTTTCACTGCTGGTGCAGTGGGACCCAGCTGTTCAGTTCCATTCTGACTCAACAAGGATTTCATTGTCTCTTTGCATGCGATAGTGCACTCAGAAATGACAAGGAAAGGCAGATTTTTAAAGCACACATATGGCTTTGTGTCTTAGTAATATATTAGATGTGCAGAATAATAGTTTCTTGTGCTCTGGCACTATGACACTATGGCAAATGGCAGTTAATTCTTATATTTTGAATCCCTGTTCCTCCTGAAAGGTCACTGTGTCATGATACACTGATCACTGTTAATAACAGATATAGAATAACCAACCAGCATTATTTCAAAACACTGGGCCTGTAAACAGAAGAAGCAAATACTGCTTTAGCACAAAAGAAGGGACAGCACACAGCTCATTCCCCCTTGCTGTGCTCCTAACCAGGATGCACAGAGCTTTTCCAGACAGTGCATACTAGGAAGCTGAAAGCAAAGATGCCCTGAGGAATCACGTGCTCTGGAAAACAGATTTCCTCCATTTGGACTGAGCATTTTTCAATCTTTGACTAATTCTTTGCATGGAAGACATGGAACTGATGGTGTCCAAGGTTCTGTCTTTGGAATCTTAGAAAATATGAAAACATGCCTGATTGAAGTCTTATGCAAAAGGGGTAAGTGACTGGTACATATATCCATACATGGAAAATGGGAACACTTTGCAACAGCTGTTATAATTATTGTTATAAAGACAACAATTGTGGCTGAGACTTCATGTATGAATGTAACTACTACTCTTCAGAAAGCATAAGATGGCATTTACAAATAATACTGCCTGCAAGGATTCCTGAGCATATATTGTCTGGCATCTTGTATTTCACAGGTTACAAGTATATTTTCCTCTTCCTTTCACACTAACCTGCAGTAGCATTTGTTTTCTTTTTCACACTTCCTTCTTTCTTCTGCTATTACCAAAGCTGACAGTCTGGCAGGGTCTAATATGCACTACATATTCACAGATAGAAGCACCAAGCTAAAGAGAACTAGAAATAAATGTTCTCCATTTTACTGGGGGGAAAGAAAATTACTGTTACACTGCAAGTCCTCTTTTTCTCAGTCAATATCACATTTGGACATTTCCCTAGCTCAGGTGAAAAGATTGTGAAAGCACTATAATATCTGCTTTGTCTAGAGAGCAGGTCAGATACATCATTTATGGAAATTGATAATTCAGCAACTGATAACTCAGTTTCTCTAGAGAGCATATTGCCCTAACTAGCAATGTTATACACTTGAAAGCTTCCTAAGTATTCTGAGAAGCCTCTTTTGATGCAGGCATTAAGCAAAACATATTTTCAGTTTGCCAAAAAATAACCAAGGAAAATTGCTAAATGCAGCATTCCTTCTCTATCAATCTACATTTTTAGAAATCAAAAATGGCAATTAAAAAAAAAAAGGCACAAGTGCTGCAGTAGCTGACTCTCAACACACCTTTGCTGCAGAAGACAGGTTTCTGTATTTGCTGTTGAGGGTACAGTCAACTGGTAAGTAAAGGATCACTGTTAGGGAGACATAGGAAGCCCGTTCACTGATGGCAAGACCAACATTCACTACTCTGCAATATATGCAAGCAGATCTTGGCTAACTGAAGT